AGCGACAGCTCCGGTAGTGGGGATCAGGTATTCCCGGTCTACACCACCCAAAGTTCAGTCACTCAGCAGCCCATATGGGACCGACCCATCTATCATATTAGCGGTACTCCCCGTCAGCCCACACACCGGCCCCACGTTCCCGAGTCTCAAGAGCCGCCCACTATATATGTGGTATGGGTTGCCATTAATATAGCTTTATTATATCTTATTCACCAATGTAATTTTAAGTAATACTTTTGACTGTCTGTCATATGTTTAGGTACAGGTGCGGGAAATACCGAAAACATTCGTGAAGGAGACCGCAAAGCCTAGTCAACCGGTGCAGAAGAGCACCAGCGACCGGACAGTTATGTTAATCGGCGTCATAGCAATCATAGCCATTGTGGTCGTGATTATAGCGCCGATAGTGTTATACTTGAAAGTGTGGCGCCGGACGAACACTGTCTGCAATGCATAGCAAATATGACCACAAATTAATTTTCAATACTTTACACAAAATAACAATTTATATGAAACTTGTATTTATGAATACAGTACTAATTATCATCCATTTAAATCATCAAATTAATTGAATTTATTTTTTCTCTTAATAATCATGTCTTTTGTCAATAATTTTCTCTCTTTTTTTATATGCGATTATTTGGTAACTGAAAAAATCCATTGTTTTTTGGGTACAAAACTATGTCAACACACATACGAAGTCATGAAAAAAGACAATAATTATTTGGATATTTATTATGTAATTAATTATACATTTTTCTATTATATAAATTTTTCGAGTAAATTATAGAATAATTTGTATATTTTTTAAAAATATTATTTATTATAATTGTATTTTTCTGATTTGAATATTAATATTTGTAACTATTTTGTCAATAAAAGTAATAATTTATAAAATAAAAAATTATTTAACAAATTACTCGGAATTTATTTATCAATAACACGATTTTATATTGAAGTAAATTAAATATTTGTAAATAAATTACTGATTCTATAGGAAATCTTTTGCTATTATTATTTTATTCTTATAATTTACTCAACTGACAGAATATCAAGAATATTCTACAAGTGTTTAGATAGCTAAGTAACTTATCAATGACTTACTGTAGTAATTAGTGTCACATTTGCCTCGAGTATCAATACAATGAGAATTCTGTAATAATATTATTCCGGATTCAATAATCCAAAAGTGGGAATCGGATTACCAGTGCAGATAACATCAGGTATAGTCAGTGTGACCAGATACCAAGTATTTGACTTGACATTCAAGTATTTGGGGTGTTTGTCAAGTGACAAGGCAAGGGGTAATACTTGACATTATAATGTCAAGTATTTTATTTTACATAAATTATTAATGATATTATGTAAAATCTCGACCAAATAGCAAAATAACATGAATGATATTGTAATATTCTTATATTAAATTTTAATTTTTATAAGTAACTTGAAAAACATAGGATGTAATGAACTTTTGTTTAATTTTTTCAGTTTGTTGATAGTTATATTAATTTTGTTAATAATAAAGTGTTTAGAAATATTCTCTATTGTCCAGATTAATACTTGTAATTAATTTGACAAGTATTGATGTTTAAAATAAAGTACCAATTAATAATAAATTTTAAATTGGGGAAATGGCACTTAATTAAAGAAAACTAAAACAATTTAAAAAGGAATATTTTCCCATTTAGTTAAATTTTTAGGTTTAATTTCACAAGTTTAGTTTTTAACTTAAAACATTTGAAATAACTTATTTGAGCATAATTTTAAGTTAATGTCATATTAAATAGTGTTATAACTATTATACAAGCATAGTTTAATTGTATTTCTGCAAAAAAAAACTTGTCAAGTATTTGTCAAGTATTTTTTGAAGAATTTATTCAAAAATACAAGTATTTTCGATTTTGAATCTGGTCACACTGGGTATAGTACTGTATACTTCATTTGCAGCACTAGTATCTCAAATATCAATTCAAAAGGACATACACTTGAACTGAATCTAACAAAAGATTACTAGAAATTCTGTATAAACCCAACAGACCTTACGATTCAAAGTAATCTACTTTTCAATGAGTGAATGGAAACGAAATCTAAGGCTTATATTATGTGTCATATTATTCCTAATCCCAGAGGCTATTAGTGTCCGAGAATTCAATGACTGAATAATAAAAAAGTAATTTTTTCTCGGATACGAAAACTATTGATGAGATTTGCCATCAAATTGAGCGCATAGTGTGTGTGACATATCGTAATAGACGTTGAGTTTAACAGTTTGGGCACAGAATTCATAGATTAGTCGATAGATATGTTTAGTGCCAAAGAATATATAGGTTTTGCTCCCAATCTATCACTACATCTCAAATATAGACTCTATTTATGCCTCACATCCCATGTATTGAGTGATTGTTCCACAAAAATACAAACAAATTAATTGCTAAAAAGGATCTTGAGCTCAATAGCCAGAGTTTATTGCCTATGTTATGAACGCATCTCTTATGGAGTTATTTATTTAAAATGCATTTAAATGTATAAATGATTTAATGTTTCATTATGTTAATGCAATTTTTAGTTTCCATTTGACACATAATTATATAAACAAATAGAGAGTGTATTTCCATATAAATGATTGCAATTAGAGTCAAACTCCACTACAATTACTAATCGTTAGTCACAACAAAAATCTCTGATATCTCGCTTCCTATCACTATATTTATTAATTACTCTACAAATAAAGCAAAATACACTGTATATGATATGGAAATAAGTGCAAAATAGGCATAGATATCATAATACATCATTTCGAAGTTGACAGTCAATTAGTTTATATTAATAATATTGTATTACATTTTTATTGAGATATTTACGGTATAT